TATGGTAAGAAATTACTGACTACTAGGCAACCAATATTACAACTTTCTTGTATTGTTAGTTGCATATGCATAATTTTATTGACATAACATAATATTATTTTTTTCAACGACTTCTAGTGGTTTGTATGGCTTATTAAAGTTATTTAGTGTTAAAAAAAGTAGGTTATTTTGTCGCGTATTGTGTTTTAATTATTTTGTGCTGATTTAGAATGGAAAATAAGGACCAAAACAACATTACTACTAGGTTGTAAGTTTATTCAAATTCTATTTTTATAAGTCAACCTGCCCTTTTTTGATATAAACTTTCAATAATAATGTATATTATTGATTTTAAAACCAAAAAAGGTTTGAATTCGAATACACCTTCACACGATGGGGTTTTGCTATTTTAAAAATTTTTAAATTGTTGTAATCGTCCCTTTGTGTTTTTTTAAAAAAAATTAACTTTTGACTGCACCCGAAGTACTAAACGTTTGAAAATAAAAAGATCGACCGATTAAACCTAGGAAAATTTTTATTTATTTAATATTTATGTAAAAAAATAATGTGAAAAATATTAGTAAAATACAAATTGTTTTCGTTTACAAATATTAATTTCTTAAAAAGCTAAGAGAGGCGCCACTTTCCAGACAAAAACCCTGGGTTTTAAAGGACCCCATTTTTAAAGTTTATATTTGATTTTTATTTTGAAGTTTTATTTTTGTAGGTAAAAGTTAAATTTGTGCTACTTTTTCAAAAATTTGCATCTAAAAAAAATATAAAACAGATTTAACCGTTATACCTACATGTACATATTTTTTTCTTTTACTAAAAAAAGTGTGGTACTATTAAACCCTTGCATACGCTGCTTTGAAGCCAAGTAAATACTTCTCGTAATATGTATATACATTTTTCCTACGACCACTTGAAAAGTGACACATAATCGTAAGATTTTAATTTTATGGTGTCCTATATCACGCGCATTTGGATAAGAATCTACTTTACGCCCATGTATCCAAAACAGCTATCAAATATGTTAGACGCATCATTTTTATTTTGATTGTAAAGTCTATAATAATACTAAAATTGATTTGATGATTAAATTGTTAATATCGATTTTTATACCTATATCCTAGATATTTATTCTTGTGTTTCTGTCTAGTTAATACGCATATTTGATTAGATAATTCACTTGACATAGCCTTCATGGCTCAGATCGTTAATTGTTCAACTATATCAACTTTAGACTTCGCGATCCGGGTTCAATTTCCGATAAAAGCAAATATGAACATTGAAAAAAATACATTTTATTTATCAGAATCTATCCTCTACAGTTAGGCCATTCGTTAATTTTTCCGATATTTTTTTATACCATTTTGACATAGTTGTTCAGAAAAAATCTTTAATACATAGAAAAAAATATCTTGTTCACAGTTGTTCATCTTATTGTTTTATTAAAAAAAATGATTTGAGGAAAAACATTATTTTCTGTATCTAATTTATTTTTCTTTATCATCCTATAAACGTATTTGTAAATTCAATCATAACAAAACACCATCCGCAAAACACTTTAAAAAATATTCAAAATCAATAAGGAATATAAAAACAAATTTAGAACCAGCCACATCTCTCCTGGTTTTATATTTTTTTGATGAAAGTTATTGTAGTCGTAAAAAAATTGTGCATCACTTGTATAATAACGAATTTTATACTTTGTAATGTAATATTCTAATTTTTTCAATGAGATATACCTTTCTATATGTAATTATATTGTAAGTGTAAAAAAAATAAATAGAATATTATTTGAACTTCAAATAAATATATAATTTCAACATTTTGGAAACATGTGGCAACGCTACAAGAAACTAGGTGAATAGTACTACGTTCATTACGGTCAGATGCTGTTAAGGAAAATAGGAAACACCGGTAAAAGTAGTACGAACGTGATCAAGTAGTACCAGTACCGTTTATCAATCTTTATAACTAGTTTCAATGTAGGCATTCACTCACAAGGAAATTAATTTTTCAAGGGATCAGAAAGTTGTCGAACCATTTTAGAGTCAATACACAAAATATTAATAATGCATGTGTACTAGTTGTTTATATAAACATAGAATAACTTCCTTTCTATCATCTATTTTGTTTCTTATACATATAATTGCTGACTAATTTCAGGAGGAGCTAATATAATTATTTAGGGAAAACGACACAATTAAATAAAAACAAAATCTCACACATGCCCAACTACCGACACTCACAAATTCACTAGAAATTATTGATAATGCAAGGAATTAAAAAAAAATTGAGGTAGCGGTTCTGTTAAAAATTTAGTCACGAAATGTTTGACTCGATGTTTTATGTTCTTTTATAGTGGACTGTATGTTAAACCTACTTGCAATAAAACACAGCTTCTTTTTACTGTGTATAATGGTCAAACACAAAGAACAGAATTGGATTGTATGAACACCTATTTACCTATATTTAAATAGAACAATGCAGTCTTACTCCGTCAAGTCCGACAACTGATATTTTCTATTTTAGTTTTTTCTGTTCTATTGATTTATTCCAATGGAATACATTTTTCCTTCCTTAAAAGAACTTTTACAATCCTTTCAGTGCTTCAAGATCCGGCTCGAAGGACCAAGTAATGTTTTATATTTCCTTTTCGTAGTGGACTGTATGTTATACCTAGTTCGAATACGATACGGCTTATTTTTACTTTGTTTAATGGTCACACATGAACATGGATAACATGGATTGTGTGTTTTGATTGATTAACGGATTGTCAATTATTATTTGAATACGGATAATTTCCCGACCGTAGCAGATTTTTATATAAATAAAAAATTTCTTGGTGTATTCGGTAATTAATTTTATTTTATATCGTTATCATAGCACTACATATGTTTCGGAAAACTTTGTTTCCATCTTCGGGTGCAGTCAAAATTTAAAAACAATAAAAAACACATGGGGACGATTACAAACAGTTTAAAATTTTTAAAATACCAGAAACCCCATCTTTTTGTTTTAGTGTGTGAAGGGGTATTAGAAAATATTATTATTGTTTCGTTTCCCTAGTATTCTCGCCATAGACGTATAACAAGGTAGGTTTTGCAGTGCTCTGCAACACGAAAAAAAAGCACAATACCAGATTATCAAATTTTAGACTGACACAATGGACATTTTCTTGTAAAATGTACGGTGGATTCTTTAAGAGACATTCTTTTTGCAATGAAAAATAAAAGTATCACAAATGATATTAACATTGATATATTAAAAAAACTATTTAGAACCACTTTTAAATTTGATAAATTCGTCCTCAGAAATTTCAAATTGAGTTTTTTTATTTATTTCAGAGTTGAACCAGTCAGGATAATAATTTTTCGGTGGTATCTTTAATTGAACGTTTTTGTCGAAGATATTATAGTCTCTCGTAAAACATTTTAATTGCTTCATCCACGCCGCCGAACTGATATAGGTGGATCCAATCAATTGTGAGTAGATCTTGATATAAACTGAGAAAATGAGCTTTTTTAAAATTATATTCTTTAGAACATGATGGAGATAATGTCTTTAGAGTAGTCTTAATGGAAATATCAACAGAAAGGGCAGGGTGTTGTGGATCTACTCGCAAGAGTTCAGATGTTTCAGAGTTCGAGAGAACGAGGTCAAGGATTCTGTTATTGCAGTTAAGTATTGTATTATGTTGAGACATATTAAAAAAGTTTAAGAAATTCATTAAACAAGATATTTTTCTACATGGATCTCTTATTGTCTGCTCTAAAATCAGAATATCTACTTAAATTGAAATAGCCAACAATTATAACATTTTGGTCGTAAACTAATTGTATAGACATGAAAATATCGACAAAAAGATCATATTCATTAGAAGATATGAACGGAGGAAAGTAGATGCAGAAAACATAAACATTTGTTTTACCCAATTTCAGTTTTATAGATGTTACATCAATAGATATAAGAGGTTCAAAAATATGTTCGGTGTCAAATATACTGGACGAGAATTGTTTTTTTACAGAAATTAAGCTACCTCCACCTAGTGTTGCAGACATTTTATGGAGTTTTCTATCAGTTCTGTAAACATTGTAAAGGGTTGGATCAAATAGTTCCGAGTCCTTGATTGAATCGTTTAGCCAGGTCTCAGTGAGCGTAATAATGTCATATTGAGAGGAAGTTGATGAGTTAAGATAAAGATCTCGAATCTTCGTACGAGTGCCACGAACATTTTGATAGAAAAGAGAAAAATTAGGCATAGTACATTTACTTTCATTAATAATAGTTGAAACAGGGTGTGCTCGATCTGGTTGCTATTTGGAAGACAGAATATTGGATCTAAATTCATTCAGTTTTTTTATATACATGACACTCATTATATTGCAAAACAAAATGATTTATGGGGATCGGATTTTCGGCAGTTTTGTTAAAGTTATGGCAGTTAATGCAATACTTATTGCTGGGTTTATGACATTCACTGGGTTTATGATTTTGAGCACATAATGGACAAATATAAACAGATTAATTACAATGTTTCTCTAGGTGATGAAAACGACAGCACTTGAAGCACCGCCTTAGCTCAATGGCGTCAAAAACATTACAATAATCGTAGCCAACAAATAGTTTACCTAGTGACATAACCTTTTGATAACTATTAATATCTGACTGTATTACGGCTTGGAAAAGTTTGTTATTCTTTTTCAAAGGTAATTGGGAGATTACTTTTTTTTTTTTTTTTTAATTTGGTGTCATCGGCGTCGACTACTACGGCCGTTTTTGTTCTGGCTTTTAATAACATTTATAAGATCATTTTTAGAAAGATTTTCAGAGATACTGACGATCTTGAAGCAAGGATTCAGTACAGGTATGCAACAAGTTTAACTTCGTTAGAAATTACAATTTATTATTAATTAGCATTTTCATCGAAAATTTGCTGTAATATTTTTTAAATAAATTGTTATTATTATTACCAATTAATAGAAAGCAAACTTTATTTATTTTTAACTTACCACCATGATTTGAATAACTTTGTGGGCGATAGAGGGCGTCATGTACCAGGCCTGTTGGAGCGACAGTCCCCCCAAATCGAAGATGCAAATGCCGCCCAAAATTTGCGCTCTTTGTTCCAAAATGGCCAATTCGAGCACGATCATGGTTGCTTGGAATATTTCGTCGGTAGATAACTTTTCTGGATCCCAATTACCTAAAAAAATGTTCTATTTATACTTACATTTTTTGTCAATCCCAGTGAGCTGTCGTAAATTAACAATTTTAAAAACCGCCATTTTGTTTTTCAGTTAACCGGAAGGGAAAAAATATAATCGGATACCCGTATAAATATTTATTATACTTGTAATATATTTTTTTTTCTTACCCATTCTGTATAACAAAATTCTTCTACCGGCTTGCTCTCTATAAGGCGGTACTGAAATGATTGCATCATCGCCCATTTTTAACAATTTTTTTAAATTAACGCCCTTGTAAAATTCTGGATTGCTCTCTTTAAAATCGTAATAATTTACTAACTAAAAATAAACAAAAAAAAAATAATAAAAAAAAAAATAAAAAAATAAAAATATAAAAGAGTGATCCACAAAAAATGTTTATAAAGTAAAACAGGACTAACAAGTACAGTGATAGAAGTAATGTCGGTGATAACTACACACACTTGAAATCAAATGGAAGAGAGAAAATGTCATTGGTATGTTTTAAACATTTAAATATTTGTCTTTGATTTATTTCCAAACCTTGAATATTAAAAATCCCTATAATTCACGAATTTTAGTCGAAATGGCAATGCTGCATCCATTTTTCATTTAACAAAAAATTACGTTTAATTAGTTTTGATATTGTAAAAAAATATATAAAATTTTGACGTATTTTTTTTAACATACCATTCTATGTGCTCTTTCTATTATAAAAAATCTTGCACGCAAGAATCTCAATAAAAAAGCATCGTCTGTCCTATGTGGAATACACTCTCCCCTTTCTAAAACACACAAAAGAAATTAGAAGAAATAATATTTAAAGTGAAAAAAATATATTTTTTACCGAATATCATATCCCTGAAATCCTGCAAGACTTGATCTCGCGTTTCAGGATTTTCGTTCAGATGTTCTCTAGCCCAATCCAGGAGCTCTTGGGGAGGCTCTCCAAGATCTAAATCTGGAAGGACCTCCGTGTCCGACGGCATTTTCAATCTGGAAATAAAAAAATAAAATTATGTGGATATACTTTCTACTGTCTAGGACAAAGTAATTTTACTGCACTGCCAATAGCAACGTACTTTCATAGAATTGGAGTATAGTAGAAGTGTAATTCGGCTATAAGATTTACTGCGAATATAAGAAGTATTGCAGCCATAAAACTAACCATCTGCAGCCCGTTCAGATAAAAGAAGTTTACCATACAAATCCCAAAATTATTAACCTCAAGCCGTCTAAATTATATTGGCCACAATATAAAACAAATTTATTTATTTTCTTTATTTAACTTATCTATATCGGTAATAGTGATTTATGGCGTCATATAAGTAAATACTCATAAAATAATATTTACCAATTCTAACTGAATTACGTGACTACTATACCTAAGAAAAATTAAAAACATTAAAAATATATAATTAACTTTTTAGAAAGAAAATAATTTCACAAATGTCACCAATACGTAAAATCAGAAAAAACAAGAAAATCTCTAAAGTGTTGAGATGTTATTGTTTTTCTTTAACTTTTTGTTTGATCCACATATGTCGAGACTTGGCTGGTTTAAAAATAAATAATTCCTCTTAAAGTTTACGACTGAGAAATTACCATAAAATGACTAAAATTAAATTGAGTGAAAGTTCTTGTTTGGTTTTTCATAAAAATAAATGAACCCACTTATTAATTTTTTCGTAGTTTACGACTTTGGAGAAATTGTAATGTTCTCGTTTCAAAACAATTCTTTTTAAAATAACATACGATGAATGATGCATTATTGCTTTCCCGGAGGTAATTACAAGTTGTTGTAAGTTGTTTAACAGTAACACATTGATAACCTAATTCACAAATCATCTTTAAATTTACCCCAACTGTAAGTCTTTAAAAATAGAAAGTAAGCTGGGATTTTTTACATGTTTTCATCAAATTTGCAAATGTTTCCCAAAAAAATATTGAATTTGATAATGATTTGACGAAACATAACTAAATTTTACTAACCACAGAACCTACAGTCTGTTCGCTATACTTACGCGGGTTTACTGATTAACAAAATTATGCAAATTAGTCATTGACAACCAGTTCCGATAAGCCTCTTCCCAAGAAATTAGGTAAAATTGCCCTAATGATCAGATTTAAATTAAAATAACATTAGGTAGGTATTACTAAATTTGTTACAAATATTGCAGTTGAATTGATTCTTTGCAAGTGTTGACATTGTATGTATATTGTAAATTTAGTGGAAATTTTAAAAATGCCTAGACGTGTGTTAGATGTAGATAGTCTAATTTGTAGTGTACATAAGTATTTTACGGATGAAAAAGAAAATGGCGGTCCTTTACAATCGGTAATGTCTGTACAACAACGCGTATGCGATGCTCTAGGAATTAGTGAAACCAAATTAAGAGGAGTATTACAAAATCACAATAGTGAACTGCCGAAAGATCACCACAAAACTCGCCCATCATTGAAAACGAAAGATATTCCAGATGGAAAGAAATTTGAAATTCGTGATACCATTTATTGAATGAGGGCCAACAAGGAACATGTGACCTTAAATACAATTCTCTCGGAATTAATAGATAAAAAAATTTGACGACATTGGCAGAACAAGTCTATGGCAAGTGATACATAACTTGGGTTTCAAATTTCAAAAGGAGGATAACAGAAAGGCCCTTTGTGAAAGAAGTTCTGTCGTGCACAAGAGAATTAACTTTCTAAGAAAATATTCTAAATTTAAAAAAAAAGCGGTGAATTTTATATATTTAGATGAAACATGGATATATTCTAGGGGTGCAACCAAGAGAATATGGCAAGATGATAACGTAAAGTTCATCAAACATACCGATGGAGAAGGGAAGCGACACATAATTTTACATGCAGGAGAGAAATCGGGTTTTATAGAAGGTGCTGATTTAATATTTTCATCTAAATCAAAATCCAGTGACTATCACGATAATATGAACACAGAAATGTTTGTAAAATGGTTGCATAAAAAGTGAGCCTAGCGTAATTATTTTAGACAATGCACCTTAACATTCTGAAGTATTAAACAAAAGTCCAACGAATTCTTGGACTGTTGATGAAATTAAAGAATGGTTGACAAAGGAACATATACCATTTCCTCAATATATATTAAAATCAGAATTATTACGCTTGGCAAATATACATGCAAAACCAAAAACCTTTGTTGTGGATCAGATTATTAAAAGTTACGGTCATCAAGTTTTACCACCGTATATCATTGCCAGTTTAATCCCATCGAATATATATGGGGAATAGCAAAACAATATTATGACAACCATATTGGGCCTAATGGTTATAGTGACAACGCAGTTCGGGAAACTTGGCGAAAAGTACTTTCAATTGCAACTCCAGAAGTGTGTTGGAACTGTGTATCCAAGTGCGAGAAACTAATAAAAGATTGGTGAATTCGTGAAAATAAAATAAACGAAATAAGTCCAATCATAATAACAATTAATGGTGATGACAGTGATGATGGTGACGATTATGATATTTTGGATGATAATGACTAATTTTCATTTTTATTGGCAAGTTCAATTTTTTTATTTTTTATTTGAAATTCTCTACATGGAACAAATTTTTATGTTAGAAAATATTTTATTTGAGCTAAATAACTCTCTTATTATACATAGACCATATTTTCTGTGTGAAGTGTAATATAAAATTATGATTAGGTTTATTATAGCCACATTAGACTCCATTAATGAAGAAGTTTTATTCTGCTCTCAATTATACAAAAGATTCTCCATTATTATTTAATTAAAAAGTTGTACATTATTTTTCATTTCATTTAACCAGTTAATATTTCCCCAAAGAACAGGTCAAACCTTCGGGTACTTACCTGGAAATACTCATAAAAAATTTAATCTGAAACCTGCGTAAGTATAGCGAACAGACTGTATGCAAAGTGCGATTGAAAAATCATCGTCCAACTATTTTTTTCTGGATTTACGTTGACGGATTCACACGTAGGTACGGTGGTTGTCTGTATCTTTTAATTAGTACTTACCTTCTACCTAATTACCGATCTATTAAAAATAATTGCTCTAATTACACTTATGATAATAAAAACTCTAAGTACACCTTGTAATGTGACGACCATTTCAGATTTTATAGAAATCTGAGGAAAAATGGGCTAGTACTGGAAAAATTTAAAAATTTTGAAGCGTTTAAAGCTTATTTTTTATACAAAAAATGAACAATTAAAAAAACAAATAAATATAACAAATATTATTTATTTACTGGCTTTTGCATTATTTGAAGTTGTGTGGAGTTTGATTAATGTGTTATTAGGATGAACATAAGCGTGTTCATTTCATACCTTTTTGATATTTTTAAAATATTTATCATCACAGTTTTTAGTTTCTTGTCAAAACTGATTAATTATCAAGAATGTGAGTTATTTTGCATATATAAATAAATATGGATGTTTTTTTGTTTTGATTATTATGTGCAGTTTGTAGATGAATCAGAATTATTACTAATTGTAAGTTCTCTGTCATTTTTATATAGCCACCCTTCCAATAGAAACTTTCAGAAACAATATATTGTAATTGTGCACAGTACTCAAGGAATATCTAATAAAATTTATATATGTTTTTAATAATAATTAAAAACTACGCTACAAAATATATTTTTTTTAATTTTTCCGACTTATAACTCGAATAAATTATTATTTTGAATTGAGATCTCGGAAAATCGATTTTTCTATCTTACAAACTCGAACAAATAGATTATTTTGACTAAGAACTCGGAAAATTAATTATTTCTACTTGAAAACTTGGAAAATAGATTTTTCTGCCTAACAAACTCGAATAATTATATTATTCCGACAAATAACTCGGAAAAATCAATTATTTCGATTTGAGAACTCTGAAAAATGATTTTTCTGCTTTACAAACACGGAAAATAGATTATTTTGATCTAGAACTCGGAAAACGGATTATTCCGACAAGAAAACGTAGAAATACGATTTTTCTACCTTACAAACGCTAAAAATTAGATTATTTATACTAAGAACCTGGAAAATTATTTATTGCGATTTGAGAACTCGAAAAATCGAATCTTCTGCCTTACAAACTCGGAAAAATAGATTATACCGACTTATAACTAAAAAAAAAAATGATTATTCCGATATAGAACTCGTAAAATTTATTTTCCTGTCTTAAAAACCCGGAAAATTAGATTATTCCGACTATTAACTCGAAAAAATTGATTATTTCGACATAGAACTCGAAAAAACTGATTATTTCGACATAGAACTTGGAAAATTGATATTCCTGTTTTAAAAACTCGAAAAATTAGATTATTCCGACTAATAACTCGGAAAATTTGATTATTCAGACCTAGAACTCGGAAAAATTGATTTTTTGTCTGAGGACTCGGAAAAATTGATTTTTCTGTCTCAGGACCCGAAAATATCGATTATTCCGACTTGAGGTCACGAAAAATCATATATTTTGTCTTACAAACTTGGAAAATTAGATTATTCCGACTTAGAAACCAGAAAAATCGATTTTTTTTTACTTAGAACTCTGAAAAATCGATTTTTCTGCCTTCCAGACTCGTAAAAATGGATCATTCTTACTTAGAACTCGGAAAAATAAATTATTTCGAGTTAGAACTCGAAAAGAACGATTTTTCTGACTTAGAACTAAAAATAAATTGTGCCGAGTATTACCTAATTTGTCATCAACCAGGAAACACATATACAGGGTGTTTTAAGAAGTTAGAAACTTTTTAAATAAACGTTGAATTTAACACTGTACAAGTGTTTCCTGGTTGATGGCGAAGTAAGTACTACTGGGAATAATATATTTTTCCGAGGTCTAAGTCAAAAAAATCAATTTTTCCGAGTTCTAAATCAGAATAATATATTTTTCCGACTTCTAAGTGGGAATAATCAATTTTTCCGAGTTCTAAGTCAGAAAAATTGGTTTTTCCCAGTTTCTAAGTCAAAATAAGCTATTTTTCCGAGTTTT